TTTACATAGGATATCTGGTCGGCACAGACGAGTTGGACTGAAAGGTCTATTTCTGACTATATCTTTATGACTCTGTGACTTTGAACAGATCTAGAAACTCAAGGCTGGGCATCCATGAGGCGCTGTGAGCCACCAACAGCAGCAGAATTGTACTCCAGCACAATCTGTAACCTCATTGCCTGGCATATCCCCCACTCAACCATTACCATCAAGCCAGGGGATCAACCCTGGTTCAATGGAGAGTGCAGGAGGGCATGCCAGGAGCAGCACCAGGCATACCTGAAGGTGAGGTATCAACCTGGTGAAGCCACCAAATAGGACCACTTGCACGCCAAACAGCAAAAGCAGCAAGTGATAGACAGAGCTAAGCGATCCCACAACCAACGGATCAGATCTAAGCTCTGCAGTCCTGCAGAAATTAAACAACTCACTGGAGGAGGAGGCTACACAAATATCCCCATCCTCAATGATGGAAGAGCCCAGCACATCAGTGCAAAAGATAAGGCTGAAGCATTTGCAGCAATCTTCAGCCAGAAGTACCGAGTGGATGATTAATCTCAGTCTCCTCCAGCGGTCCCCAGCATCACAGATACCAGTCTTCAGCCAATTCAATTCGCTCCACATGATATCAGGAAATGATTGGAGCAAAGGCTATGGTTGGAGTCATACCTGACACAAAGGAAGATGGCTGTGGTTGTTGGAGGTCAATCATCTCAGCTCCAGGACATCTCTGCAGGATTTCCTCAGGGTAGTGTCCTCGGCCCCACTATCTTCAGCTGCTTCATCAATGACCTTCCCTACATCATAAGGTCAGAATTGGGGATGTTCGCCGATGATTGCACAATGTTCAGGACCATTCACAACTCCTCAGATACTGAAGCAATCCGTGTTCACATGCAACAAGATCTGGACAATATCCAAGTTTGGGCTGTCAAGTGGCAAGTGACATTCACGCCACACAAATGCCAGGCTATGGCCATCACCAATAAGAGAGAATCTAACCACAGCCCCTTGACGTTCAATGGTGTTACCATCACTGAATCACCCACTATCAACATTCTGGGGGTTACCATTGACCAGAAACTCAACTGGACTCCCCACATAAACACAGCGGCTACAAGAGCAGGTCAGAGGCTGGGAATTCTGCGGTGAGTAACTCCCCTCCTGACTCCCCAAAGCCTGGCCCACCATCTACAAGGCACAAATCAGGAGTGTGAGGGAATACCCCCCACTTGCCTCTGGATGGGGTACAGCCCCAACAACATTCAAGAAGCTCGACACCATCCAGGACAAAGCAGCCCCCGCTTGATTGGCACCACATCCACAAACATCCCACTCCCTCCCCCACCGACGCTCAGTCACAGCAGTGTGTACCATCTACAAGATGCACTGCAGAAATTCACCAAAGACCCTCAGGCAGCACCTTCCAAACCCACAGTCTCCACCCTAAAAAGACAAAGATTAGAAGGCTGTTTAGCAGGCTTCTCACTACCCTCTGATGATCCTGTGCTCCTGGGAGAAATGAATCTTTGAGTTTAAGTTGAGTTTGAGTTTGATTTATTGTTGTAACACGGACTGAGATACAGTGAAAAGTGGTGTTTTGTGTGCTATACAGGCAGATTATACCATACAAACTATATCAGGGTAGCAGGACAGAGTGCAGGATACAGTGTTACAGCCGCAGAGAAAGTGCAGAGAGAGGGAGATCAACATTAACGTTTGAGAGGTCAGTTCAAAAGTCTGACAACAGCGGGGAAGAAGCTGTTCTTGAATCTGTTCGTACGTGATTTCAATACATATTTTATATCTTCTGCCCAAAGTGGAAGAGATTATTATCGGGGTGCAAGGGGTCTTTGACGATGTTGGCTGCTTTGCCAAAGCAGCAGGAAGTACAGATGGAGTTATTGGATGGAAGGCTGGTATATGTGATGAGCCAGGCTGTGTTCACAACTCTCTGTAGTTTCTTGCAGTCTTGGGAAGAGCAGTTGCCGTACCAAGCTGTGATGCATCCCGATAGGATGCTTTCTATGGTGCAGCTATAAAAGTTAGAAACAGTCCTTGTGGACATGCCGAATTTCCCGTAAACACTGATCATCAAGCAGGTAACTCCTTACCACACCGGCTGTGTCGATCATCTGCTCACAGGAACGCAATGCTGTCGTTTGTCCATTGAATCAATTCTTCCATATGTGTCCCCATGAGTGCTCACATCCAGACTCTCTGGCCGCACTGTAACCATCCTGTGGGCTGTAGCTACACCCTGGTCTCTCTATGTGGGGTAATCGCTCCGACTGGGTCAACTGCCTTGTCAATGCCACTATGGCTGTTCTGGAGCGGTGCATGTTGGTCATTCTCGGCTAGGGATATCTCCAAGTGCTGGCTGGAAACGGGGTGTGATACCTGGGCCTCAACAAGGTTAGCCACAGACATTTACCCCTGTCAGAAAAGGCCAGTGTCTGTGTATGACTTGATGGACAGTGTTGCCAGACTGAACTGCATGCTGGTAAATGTGGCCAACTCTGAGGAGTCAAATAGGGGCAGAACCAGCTATAGGCTCAACAGCAGAACACAACTTAATTAAATAAAGTAACCAGATGTTATCTGATGAGATAAGTACCAGGAGATAACCTGATCAACTGGAATAATGTGACATTATTCAGTGTCTGCTGGAATGCAGTACTGAGTCCCACACCTTAGTCGTTGAATCATAGAGCCATACAACACAGAAACAGACCCTCCCGTGTCTTTTTAAATCTCTCTCCTCTCATCTTGAGAATGTGCCCCCTAGCCTTGAAATACCCAATCTCAGGGAAAAGACATCCACCATTAACTCTATCTATACTCCTCATGATTTTATAAACCTCTATAAGCTCATCTCTCAACCTCCTACACTCCTTGAAAAAAATCCCAGCCCGTCCAGCCTTTCTTTATACCTCAAACCCTCCATACCTGGCAACATCCTAGTGAGTCTCTTCTGAACCCTCTCCAGCTTGGTAATATCCTTTCTATAACTTTGAGAAATTAGGTATGTTTATACAAGCAAACAGAAGCAAGCATCAGACAAAGAAGGAAGAAGAATCCGAAGCTTGAAGGCCCAAGGAGCATTAGCTTGGAGTCCAGAGACTGTAAACAGTGGTATCCATTGACCAGCGGGACTCAGGCTTGACTGATTTTACTTGGGAAGATAAGTGTTGTTTATTTTTGGGGAACATTTCAGAACCGGAGATAGTCACTTGTGTTTTGTTAAATCCAGATTGAGTTTGATTGAACACATTTGGAGTTAGTGTTTTCCAGGTAGATCAAAAGGCAGAGCCATGGGAAACAACACAGAGTGAGCCATGGTCTCATTGACATCTCGTGATATTTCTGTGTCCCTGTTTAGTTCGAATGGTCTTTATTTGTAAACCTTCAACATGAACCCTAACGATGTCGTCTTCAGTCAGGAATCTCCATCCTTGTCCTGATGACCGCCGCATTCAGATGTCAAAATTTCAAACAAGGGGCAACGGATACACAGGAACACCAGCCCCCTGCAAGTTCCCCTCCGAGCCACTCACCGTCCTGACTTGGAAATATATTGCCGTTCCTTCAGTGTTGCTAGGTCAGAATCCTGGAATTCCCTCCCTAAGGAGCTGGGCTGCAGCGGTTCAAGGAGGCAGCTCACCCCCACCTTTTCAAGGAAACAGGAATGGCACTGAGCAACTAGGGGCAACTGGGGACGGGGCAATAAATGCTGGGCCCAGCTGGCGAGCCCAACGCTGTGAGCAAATGAAAAAGTCTAGTTGCTGTTTCACTGGATTTTATCTCAGAGCTCCCTTTGCGTTGCCAATTGTTTGTTGAGTATTCCCTTACCTTGTTCAGCAAATACTTGCAATCACACTTTATCAGACTAAATTCCCACGGCTGCTCACCTTCCCAACTGACGGAATATTGATATTTCTCTGCAGAACACAGCTCTGTTCCACATGCCCAGAAACACAGGAGCAGCAGTAGACCATTCTGCCCTTTGAGCCTGCTCCACCATTCAAAGTGATCTTGGCTGATCACCCAACTCAGTGCCATTCCTGTTTCCTCCCCATACCCCTTTAGCCCCAAGAATTATACCCAACACCTTCTTGAAATCAGTGATTTAACCTCAACTGCTTTCTGCTGCAGATAATCCCACAGGCTCCCCATCCCCATCACCCCCCACCCCCACAAGTTCTGGACTCCCCAGTCATCGGGAACATCCTTCCTGTGTTAACCTGTCTAGTCCTGTTAGAAGTTTATAGGTTTCCATCATATTCACCCTCATTCTTCTAAGGTCCAGCGAATATAATCCTAACTGACCCAAACCCTCTCCATCCGTCAGTCCTGCCATCCCAGGAATCAGTCTGGGAAACCCTTTGCTGCACTCCCTCCATTGCCAGAACATCCTTCCTCAGATAAGGAGACCTTAAAACTGCACCAAGGCCCTGTACAACTGCAGCAAGACATCCCTGCTCCTGGGCTCGAACACACTTTCAGCCCCAGGGAGCTGTGGGTGTGTGTGTTTGACAGAGAGTGTCAGAATGTGTGTGTGTGTGTGTGAATGTGTGGGTCTGTGAGAATGTGTGTGCGTGTGTGTGAGAAAGAATGTCAGTGTGAGAGTGTCAGAACGTGTGCGAGTGTGAATGAGTTTGTGTGTGTGTATGAGAGAGTATGTGTGAGAGTGATGTGTGAGCGAGTGTCTGTGTGTGAGAGAACGTGTGTGTGAGTTTGTGTGTGTCTGAGGAGGAGTGCAAAGAGCTGACTGAGCAGGAAGCAGTGTTCTTACACTGGTCCATTTCAATTTAAAGATGCAGATCTTGTATTTTCCATCCATGGGATATTGTTTCAACATTTCAATATTTTCAAATGCAAAAAGCAAGCTTTGCAGGTGAAGATGTTTAAGCATGCTCTGTGTGTGCTTTAACTTAAGCTGGTCAGACCTACAAACCAGTCAATAGTAATGAAAATGCTGACTGGAGCACTACACAAAATTAGTAACAAAGCAACAATTTTATTGGCAACTTAGGCTGCACAGTTTTGGTCATAGTTTAGTCCCAAACAGAGCACTGGAGGGATGGTCTGGCTTGCCAGAGTCAGTCTCTCTCTCTCTTCACTCAGACCTCCCCATTCCAGAAAATTTGCTCCAAATCTCTTCGATCCTTGGGAAGGTGGAATGGTTCTGTGTGATCAGTCATTACTGGTGCATGGAGGGTGTCAGGGCTCACAGTGGCCACGGGGATAAGAATCAGGTCTTGTTGAAGAAGATGGTGGGCAATGATACAAGTGGAAAGCATAATGCGTTTCTACTGTCAAAAATAACCAAAACAACTGCTTGGCTAAAATATGTACAAATAGCAACATAACTGACAACCCAAGATCAGATAAAACTAAAATATTTTTTAATCAAGAGACATGCAACTGTTTTGGGTGTCACTGAGAACGGCTGGGTTGAGCCCATGTTAAGTTGAATAAAAGTTTGACTCGAATATAAGAAACTGCTGTCTATTTCAGGTTTATTTGTACAGTGCCATCACCAATTTCACTAAGTCAGGAGTTACTTCATGAAGTGTGACATATGTGGCTTTGACTCGATGAAAGCATATTTCCTGTGTTTAATAGACATTTCAGTGGCCAGGTGTGACAACACCATTCGGTGAACTTATTGAGCTCTCGGTGTGGTTTCCCTGAAAGGCTGGGGGATTGCCTAAAGCTGAATTACATCTCGGTTTCTAACAATGAATCATACAAAGTAGAATTCCCACCACCGTGCCCTTCCAAACACTGCAGGATCAGCACGGTGCTGCTGGCTGCTCTGGACACTGGCGAGTGAGCGAGGCTGGTCATCTCCTGGCAATGGGCTCTCCAGTTGGCACCTGCCTCCCTTTTGCCCAGCTCAGCAGCGCTGGCTTCACCAGGGGAAATGTTGCTGCTCTTCACCAGGCTAATAGAGAGTAGCAAGGTGGAGGTTCCCATTCACACCTGCCACTGCAATCAGCTGGCCATCGAGGGCACTATCCACAGCCTGGACAGTGTTTCTGCCCAGTGCTACCTCACCAAGATCCTGTACAGAGAAGGCACAACATACATCAGTACAGTTCCTGTTCATCATTCTCTGACAGTGAATACTCAAGGCGAAATACCCAGTCACTGAAGCTACCTCCCTCCATTCTGTCTCCTAGCCCATCCTTAAGACTGTAAGATACAGCAGCAGAATTGGGCCATTCAGCCCATCGAGCCTGCTACACCATTCAATCATGGCTGTTATGTTTCCCAACCCCATTCTTGTGCCTTCTCCCTGTAACCCTTGATCCCCTTAGCAATCAAGACCCTATCTATCTGTGTCTTAAATACACTCAATGACTTGGCCTCCGCAACTCTCTGTGGCAATGAGTTCCACAGATTAACCACCCTCTGGCTGATTAAATTCCTCCTCATCTCAGTTCTAAAGGGTTGTCCCTTCACACTGAGGCTGTCCTACTCATGGCAACATCGTCTCCCTATCCACTCTATCCAGGCCTCTCAGTGTTCTGTAAGTTTCAATCACAGACCTTCCACCCCCCCCTCCTCATTCTTCTAAACTCCTTCGAGTGCAGACCCCGAATCCTCAACTGTTCCTCATACGACAAGCCCTTCACCCCGGGATCATTCTTGTTCCTCACCCTCTGCTGCTCGTCCCTCACACCCTCGGCCTGCCCTGCACTGACTCGATACGCTCTTGCAGTGAGCTGGCCCAGGCAGGGTTACCTGGTCTGTTTTGTAGTTGATAGCGTGTGCACTGTGTGTCCCACTGCCTCCGCTGATGACCACCTCACTGTTACAGAACTGGGCAGTGTACAGAAACTCGCTCTCCCCCTTCCCGACGGGAAACGGAATTGTCTTCTCCTGCCGTAGGCTCCGATAATCCCACAGTTTCAGGGCATTGTGAGCCACCCACGCTCCTGTCAGGATCCAGTTTCCCTGCAAATCACCACAGGGTCACAATGTTCGATCGGAACCTGCCTTCAGACTGTCCTGCTCACATCAGCTCCCTTTCCCTCCCTCCCACTACCCTTCCCAATTCCCTTCCCTCTCCCCTTCCCTCCCTCC